CAGACTACTATGCATAATTTTATCCAGGCTTTTCTTTGAATTTCCAAGTAAATTAGATTCTGAAACATTTGCATTCTTACCTTTTTTCAAGGCACATTAAAGAGTTATGGTTGCACATGTTAATGGATTTGCCTCATGACAAATTTATTTTGCAAGAATTAAAATGATTTAATTCATTATGAGTAAATCTTATTGTCGTCAAAGTTAGCAAAAGAATATTTCAGTTACTGAAGATATTTTTCTTAACAGCTTTATTGAGCTATAGTGACATGCAGTAAACTTCACATATTTAAAGTTTAAATTTGATGTTTCACAATATGTACACACCCATCAAGACATCCATCATTCCCAAAAGTTTCCTGTTGTTTCTTTTGACCTCTCCCATCTTCATCCGCAGGTGAGCTCTGATCTGCTGTTTGACCATATGATTAGTTTGCATCTTCTAGAATTTTATATAAATAACATGAATCATACAGTGTATATATGTGTATATATACATATACACACATACATATATATATATATATTTTTTTTTTTCTTCCTTTTTACTCTGTATAACTGTTTGGGATTCACCCATGTTGTTGCATGTATCCATAGTCCATTTCTTTTTATTGCTGAGTAGTATTTTGTTGTGAACATACAACACTTTATCTCTTCACTTGTTGATAGACATTTAATTTATTTCCAGTTTTTGGCTGTTGGAGGTAAAACTGTTGTGAACAGTTGTATATGAGTCTTTATATGGCTATATGCTTCATGCAGGTATTCTTAAAGTAAAACTATCACATTAGACTCCTTAAGTTATGAAGGTTTAGAGCAGAGAGGCACAGCTAAAATGTTTTTCAATAAAACAAAATCCAAGTTTCTTCAGTACTTTGTTATAAGGTTATTTGTGTAGCAGCATAGTCTAAGTTTTTTAGTTTCTTCTCTTCCCCCTTCTGCCATCTGTAGACATGGTTCCCTGTATCTATCCTGAAGCCTGTCTGTTTCTCAGAAGCTGCCTCCTATTACTTATTTCTCTGTGTTTTACTCTGTTCTCAATCAGGCCAATGAATCTGCCTCCATCTGCTGAAGAACCCTTGTCTGGTTGATATTTAGCCTGGTTACCCAGGCCTGACTTCGTGCTCTTACACCTCTGGAAACCAGTATGTAGTCAGCTGCCCGCTTGGGTCACCATTGCCTGATATCTTTGGCCCAACCTTCACCTGCCCCCTCAACATACCTGCTTATGCTGCTAGGCAGGCCTTTGCTGTCTGATGACTGTTCTCTAAATGCACCTTCCTTTTTATCCCAATCTCCTAGATTCTGCATCTAGTGCACATCTGTGCCATTTGAGCCAGTCCAAATCCCAGTGTGTGGCCTGATTTAGTCTTGGAGACCTGACTCCTCTCAGCTCTTGAAGAACTGCACTATTCAAGAGCACTCTGGTTTGCAACAGATTTGGATCTGGATTGTTCCTAAGTCCCCGTGTTCCCATAAGTAAATACACCAGAGGCACCACTGCTAGTGGCAGGCAGACCTGGCACAATGTTTTTTCGTGAGCCTATTTGTTCCTCTATAGAGAAGGTCTCAAGTCAAAATCTTAAGTAGAACAATGTCTATTTGTGATGTACTTGCAATTTGTACCACTTCTTGGACCTACATTCTTCTCCTTTCTGTGCTCCAACCACTCCGACCTTCTTTCTGTTTGTCCAATGTGCTAGTCTCACTTTCCCCTTAGAGCCTTTGCATCTGTTCCCTAGTCTCATCACACATTTCCATAGATGTCAGACAGCTGGCTTCTCCCATCAGTCCCATCTCAGGTGAAGTGTGATTACCTTGGGGAGGACTTGAATTTATCATTTATGAAATTTCTTTCATCCATTTATTACTTCTTAATTGACCTCCTCATTCTATACACCTGCATATACGTGCCATGAGGGCAGGAGCAAAGGAGCTAGAAGGACAGAACAGTTCTCATGTTAAGCAAACACAATGCTCAATACATATTTGTAGAAATGAGTGCATATGGTACCTCTGTCTGCCTGATGAAGTACTACTTCTCTTTTGAAGTCCAACTCAAATACTGTATCTTTCAAGAACCTCTCCAACTACATTTGTTTTTCAGTCTTTCACAGTAATTTTTATTCTTTATTTCTTCTGTTGAGCTGCCCCCATTCTTGCTTTAAAATGTAGAGGATGCAGGGAACATACTTGGCTTACTTTGATATACATTTCAGACTTAAGAACATAGCAAATTATGAGATGTTTGCTAAAGTCATGAATAAATGAAAATCAATCATTAGACTGTTGATCATTTTATTTCTTCCTTATTACAAAATATTTAAAGTATGCAGAAAAGAATCAATAATACTACAAATAATACCCATGTATCCATCAACTGCTTTAAAAAACTTAATATTAAAGACTTATTTGAAATCCCTTGTATGACCATCTGTGATAATGCAATTTCGTAAGATACGTATCTTTGTTTATTCAGGTGGTAAAATATATAATTCTCATATATATTGGTCTTTGTACATGTGTCCTGGCTCACACAGCTCCTAAAACCCTTGGAATTTGGGAAGTGATGAGAGCAATAAAGGCATCTTTTGCAATGTTAATTAAGTGGTTTCTGGACCCCACCTAAGAATGGGAGCTGGTTGCCAGGAGAGCCGACCACGTGATTAGAGGATTGGAACTTTAAGTCCCATCCCCAGCCTCTGGGGCTGGAGATTGAGTTCCATTGCCAGTGGTCAATGATTTAATCAATCATGTCTCTGTAATGAAGTCTCTGTAAAATACCAAAAGGATGGTGTTTGGAGAGCTTCCAGGTTGGTAAATACGTGGAGATGGGGAAAGAGTGTCTTATCTGGAGAGGGCGTGGAAGCTCCGTGCCCTTCCCCCATAGCTTGCCTTGTGTATCTCTTCCATCTGGCTGTCCCTGAGATATCCTTTTATAATACACTGGTGATCTAGGAAGTAAATGTTTCTCTGAGTTCTGTGAGCCATTCTAGAAAATTAATTGAACCTAAAAAAGAGGTCTCGGAATAGTCAGAAATGCAGGTAAGCACCTGGGCTTGAGACTTGTGCCTGAAGCTGGGTGGGGTGGGCTGGGGCAGTCTTGTGGGATGGAGCCCTTATCCTGTGGCATCTGCTGCTATCTCCGGAGAGGTAGTATCAGCAATGAGCTAGAACTGAGCGGAATTCTCACACACCCTGCTGGTAATCAGAAATTGCTTGTCGGTGAGGTGGGAACGGTGGGAGCTACCCCCGCCTTCCTCGTCTCCCAAACACACATATACACACATTGAAATTGGGTCCAGGAACCTGAAAGACTGCATCCCTTTCTCCTCCTTTTTTTTCCTGAAGTAATCATGAGTCTGATTGTGGGGTTTATCATTCTTATATTTGTATGATTGTATGTACATTTCATGACTATCACCTGTCTGGGTATGTGTGCATGTGTGTGTATCCATTTACAATATGTTTGTTCTGCTTGTTTTTAAGTAGTATATGGTGAGGGTCATTTTACACCTTGTTCCCTCAACATTATGTTTTTCAAATTATCCATGTTGATATATGTAGTATGAGCATCTAGTTCTGAAATCATTATTTCAATTGTTTTGTAGTATTTTTTTTGTATCAGCATTTTATAGTTTCCTTTTCTATTCTCTTGCTGAAAGGCATTTAATGTGGTTTGCCCCTTTTTACTCTTACAAACAGCAGTACAGCAAACATTCTTGTACCATTTTTTCTTGGGATCCTAGGGAGTATCTCCAGGCTATTGGGAAGCAGAACTTGTGAGTCAGGGACTATCAACATTATGTCATTGTGATTAAGAGCAAGGTGCTGGAGCCAGTCTGTCTAGGTTCGAATCCTTACCTTGCCACTTGCTAGCTTTCCCGAGAAGCTATGATAATTAGTTATTTTCAGCCCTTCTCAGGAGCAGGTAGGTCCTACCTAACCCTAGCATCAAGCAGTCAGCTTGGCTAAAGTCCCTTTGTCTCTGGCAGATCCTTCTGGAGCCAATTCCCAGCCTCCACAGCCTGAGCCTGGAGCCAGAAGCCAACAGGCCTGTGGCTTCACACACAATCACTACTTTGCATTTCTGTACCATTTCTGGTCTTTGGAGAGGTTTATTTCCAGGCTGGAGATACTTTTCAGTTTTCCCTTTTAATGTTTTATTTATCATCGCTATGTGTTTAGAGCAGAAGGAGTACATCAAAACATGAATGTATTGGGTCACCTTAACCAGAAGTTGATAACACCTCTACAGTCTTTTAAAATAAACACAAATCTTAGAATCATCTAATCATAGAGTTTTGAAGCTGGGAAGGATTTTAAAGATAATGAAGGCCAATAACCTTATTTTATAGGTGAAGAAACTGTGGTCTTGAGAAATTACGTGACTTACCTGATGTCATACATCTGCTTAATGGTGAAATCTTGACCAGAACCAAAAAGCCTTTTGACACTGCCTCTATATTAGAGTTTGCTCTATAAGCTGTATTTGCATGTGACATTTTACTCTTAATAGGACTCAAAAAATAAATCAGAGTTTAATCAATTAGAAAAATGACATGTCATATTTTTAAATTGACATAAGATGTTTTCTTCTGCAAAATATTGAGGACAAAGCAAGAGTATCATTGCATTGAGCTGAATATATTTTCATTGGAAGGCACAATGCCTTTTGACTCTATAGATGCCTGCTACATTTGGTTTCCTTGACTTCCTGAAACTTATTAGGATGTGCCCATCAATAACCGTGCTGATGCTTGCTGCTTGCTACAGCACTGGGTCTGGAAATGAACTGTGATGAATGGGTGTGGCCAGTGTTTACAATGAGAGCCTATGTTTCTGCTGTCATGTAGAAATGACAGGGAGTTTACTTTAGAAAAAAAAATTTACTAAGCAAGAGTGAATATTCCTTCTAATTAGGATTTCTGGACTTAGGATATGTGCTTAGAATCTGATATTTTGTTAAAGCCTTTGGAATTGTTTTATTCTGTTTCTAGATCTCTTAGCTGTGCCTAAGCATCCGTATGCTGCTATGGAGAATTGGGGACTCAGTATTTTTGTGGAACAAAGAATACTGCTGGATCCCAGTGCTTCATCTATTTCTTATTTGCTGGATGTCACCATGGTCATTGTTCATGAGATATGTCACCAGGTATGAGAAAAAGGATCAGGTGTAAGTATAATTGCACACTCTTGAGATTGTAGAATGACTTCACATACTTAGATTAGGAGCTAAATTATTATCCTCTCCATTAAGTTTTAATTATATAGAGAGCACTGCGTAGTTCTTTCTGGAAGATATGCCGTTTTTCTCAGATGACAGCAGAAACAAAAGCAAACACACTGATCATATTGAATAAGCAACCGTCATTCAGTTTTGCTGAGGAGTGAGATGGCACTGCCACCCAGCAGCCGCTTAGCAGGCCCCATCCAGTCACACTATTCCTTGTCAACTTCGCTTCACTTTCCCGTGATTATTGGTGTGTAGATTGGTAAGTGCAGTGATGGCAATGATTTATTGCTTTGCTGTTAGATGCAGCTGAGTTTTGTGTACGTGTCAAAATTTGCCTTTGCAGAAATCAATTTGTTATTCCCATTTTCCCATCACACAGACACTTAGGAAGTCTTTCACTAACTCAGCCATAGATTCTTTGTTCTCAGATGATTGATATATTTTTTTGTCTTGGCATGTTTAGAAATCCATTTGTAAATTAGCCAACTTTGTAGTGAAGCTGAGATAAAATTAATTTCATTTTGACTTTATGCACTGTCTTACAACCAGTGGAAAGTATTACAGAACTTTTGCAGTGCTTATTTGAATCTTGATTCTAGTAAAAAGAAAATATCACTGAAAATAAATGCACATGTTAATAAAGCAATACCTGTTCTGGGTACTGGTAATTGTGGATAGTTGATGTTAAAACATCAGAAACTCATTGTGATTTCATAGCACTTCAATTTGTTATAAACACAAATCCTTTTAAAACACTGAAACAACTTTGAGTGACGGAAAATGCTGTGAGTGAAAGAAGGTGAACTGTCCAGTGCTAATACATAACTACTGACCTCACGATAAACTGGTCCAGGCTGACCATTAGCCTAAGTGTCATCCTTGTGCAGGGAACGTGTAAAACGTTTGTATTTGTCATGCTGACCAGGTTGGGCATATGTTCCTTGCCTCAGTGACTTGAGGGAGTCCACATGGAGGGATAGCCAGGGCTCCTCTACTGGGCGAAAGAGAATGGGTTCCAGCTAAACATAATTCTTTGAGGCAAAAGTAGTTCCCTTGTGAACATTCCTCAAAACAAGTTACATCTAAGTTTTTGTTGAAATAAACCTACATTGATAACATTTTTGTTCCTAAAATTGGATTTCATTTGTTCCATATGGTAAGTTACTTTCTTGTTTTAGCTTACTCATGCCAGGCTACTCAGTATTTGGAAATTAACCCCAAACTGGGAGAAATACATAATAATTTCCAGTCTTGCTGTCAAATTATTTTCTGCATAACCCTCTCTCCCTACCTATTCATTTTCTCAGTTCTTAAGACTGGCTTGCAAATTAAGGAGAAACATGCATTTTTGATCAGGAATAAAAAATATTTTAAATATCATTTATTTTGAGGTCATGAATATATTCAGAGTTTTCTCTTACTCGTATTTCAGGTAGAGATCCTCTTGAGTAATGGATACTTGATCATTACTGTTGAAATGTTCAGTCACCCAGCTCTTTACTGTATCTCCTAAAGCTGCACACAATCTGATACTTGTTCACCTTTTACTTCCATTTCTTAAATAATTCATTCCCCTTTAGGGTTTTCACACTAAGGGTTACTTACCTCTGCCTGGAATCCTCTTGCCCAAGGCTTACTCATAGCAGCCTCTTTCTTATCATTAAAGTCTGAATGCAGATGTTACCTGCTTGGAGAGAACATTTTGCATTTACAATCTAAAGCAGCTCCTTCCCCAATCCTACCATACTTAATTAGACCCCGAAATTGTGTTATTCATTTGCTTGCTTATTTTTTATTTTCTGTCTCACTGCATCCCCCTTACTTCCACAATAAAACACGAGCTACATGAGAAGGGGCATTATCTGACTTTTCATCCTTGGATCCCAAGTCTTTAGTATATCTCCTGGATTATAAAGTGTATTTTTTTTTAATGAAAGAAGGGTTCTTTTAACCTTTTGCTGAATGAAGCAAGGATTTCACAGCAATGCATCGTGATCTAATCAAAACACCAGTTAAAAATTACAACATTAGTTTTCATGAAGGGCTTTTAGAGATTTGTTAGGTTCAAACCCCTCATTATCATGGTGTCATGGAGAAGCAGGTGTGGAGCATCTTAAAAGCCCTTGGTTCCTTTAATCGGCTGATGCCTCCTCTTAATTGCTGCTGATGCTTCAATACTTTTGTGGTAAGTCAGTCATTCAGAGCTCCTCCAGGCAGTTTTTTCTATCGTTGGCCATCTCAGTCTGTTAGAGGGTCTCCTGCATTTTCAGCAGACATCTACCAACTCTAATTCCCATCCGTTAACCCTGATTTGTCCCTTTAGGGCTACAAGGTACAAACCTTTTCCTCTTCCTCATACTAGGCCTTCAAATATTTGAAGACAGTTGTTATCAGCTTTTTTTTCTCCTCAGTTCTTTCTTCTCTAGGTTAAATGCTCTTTTTGTATTCCCTGGTCATTTTATCTTTGCTCTTCCCTGAACATATTTAGAAAACACCAGTGTCACCCAAGTAGTCAAATAAATCAATAGTCTTGCCGCATAGCATATTTTTAGATCACAAAACCAGTTGGGGAATGAATTCCAGTTATGATAATCATAGTTTGCTAATTTAATTTTAGATAAAATAATCTGGTGCCACATTTGTTTCTGTCTGATGTCCATTCATTTTATCCCTGCAGTGGTTTGGTGACCTTGTGACTCCTGTGTGGTGGGAAGACGTATGGCTGAAAGAAGGTTTTGCTCACTACTTTGAGTTTGTTGGTACAGACTACCTCTATCCTGGCTGGAACATGGTAAGTGCACTGCTCTTTAACTGTCCAAAACTCCCAGTGAAAGATTGATATGGTGTCACACTGGGCTTATATTACCATCATAGGTAACTGCAAATACTAACTGATGAATGAAATTAATTAGATGCCCAATAAAGAAGTAACAAAAATTTAAATGGTAGTTTTCCAAAAGAGTTCTCTTTTATTTATTAGAAGGAAACAGTCTGATGGGTTTACAAGCTGATTTCAAAATGCTACACCTGTTCCAAATAGAAATATTTTAGATTGCAATATTGGATAACAAATTATTCTTTAAAATAGAGAAGGTAGCAGCAATTAGTAAGATTTTAATTGTATAGAGTTTTTCCACATATAGAAAAATAATAACAATATTTCTTTGATGTGATGAAACAAAAAGTAGCTAAACATTTGCTGCCTTATTGTTTTAAAGATACTTTAAGAATAAATAACTTAATAAGATGTCATTGACTTTATGAAGAGTTGTGCACATTGTACCCATACTGGGACCATATCTGTATGTCAGAACCTAAAGTAGGATTTTTTTGTCAATGATGTTCTAGAGCATCCTGAAAGAAAAAGTGGTGGGGGTGGGGGTGCGGAGAGCATGATTTTTATGTCTTTTAATATGTTTTTCATTTTATATAAGCTTCAATTAATCAGTAAGTGACTATGTTATTATTAGATGGAACCCAGGTATATGTAGTTTTAGAACTCAAATTTTAAATTTGTTTTAAGTGGTATCATGTAAAAGCTGTAAAATACCTCTATCAACTTCCAGAAACTCAAATTTCACCTGTGATATACAGCATGAATGATAATACATATCTATTTTATACTTCTCTTTTTTGATGTTTAAATTATTAATAAAGATTTCCTAAATATTTGTCGTAAGTATAATTTGAAGAGTACTTAAACCAAGGTGAAATATGAAGATGTCTGTAAGTTATGATAAAACTTCATGGTAGACCATAAATTCAGCCAACTTCTGCTGAGTAAGAAATGTGATCTCAAATAATGCACAGAAAAAATGTTATAAAAGTAATGCCATATCATTATGCTTCAATTATGTTCATGCAGTTTTGCCCATATTTCATAAAGGCAACATGGTTCATTTGCAGAAATGTATAAAATAATATTACTTAGACTTCTGTATCTAGGTATGTATGTATATGATAGAATTTTTAAACTTTAAAATCTTGTTTTATCATGACATTGAAATGATAAAAAATTGCCTTTCCTTTAAAAACTTTGAAGAAAAATCAACAATACCATGCAATTTTAATTATTTAAAATATTCTTTAACAAATGTGAAATTTTAAAACTGAAATGTTTAAGGATATTGAAACATTTCCAAAAATATATTCAGGTTGTTAGATGACTTTCAGTCAACTTTGTTTAAAATTTTCATTATGCTGTGGACTATTACTGATTCATAATTTCATTATGTTCCAATATTAAAAGATGTCTTTACAACAAATGACATGTTCCTTATATAAGAAAGCTTCTTTTTAGTTCCATCAGCTATCTATGAAAAAAACCCTTTCTATTCATCATTATGAAAAATACATCTTGAATTAAAAAGTAATCAACAGAATTACACATGGGGTGAAAACTGACATCTTTTGACGGTTTTAGCATGGCAGTATATCCTGCTCCAATGTCCTTATACTGGATTTTGTCTTTGAATAAGTTATTATATTCTTTCATCATTTTTCTCAGTTAAGTTATAAATGTAGACCTTCTGCAGAACATTTTTATAAGAAGTATTGAAAACGAACATGGAGTGTAAATAACACATTTGAGGCTTTGTCCTTATAGAACACAGACCATCAACTGGAAGTATAAAAACCTTAGGGTGGTAAGCTGTAAGATTTTACTTCTTATAAGTCCATACTTCATAATTAAGAAATGAGAATTAATGATAGCATAGGTTCTGTGACACAGAAGGCTCACCCTATTAAATAAGGAAATGAATAAACTCCATCACAATTAATTAGGCAATAGTGAGGAGAAACAGTCCTGTGATGTCTCTTTATGTTTTGATTGTAAAGATTATAAATACTTGCTAATCTGATTGCTTTTGCTTTTTAGTAGCTTTCTTTATTTAGATTGTAGAGTATCTCAATATATTAAATTCATAAAACCTATAGGAAGAAATTCTAAACAAATTTCTCTGCTACCATTAATATCTTCTTTGCAAACGAAATTTTAAGAGTAAGTTAGTTAGATAAATAAGAGAAGGTATTAAGTGACTTTAAGGCTGTGCCAGCACTGTTTTTCATAATGGCTTCAGCAAAAGAGTGAAAGAAATACTAGCAAAAACAGGAGTGATGGCTGTGTCAGCAGTAATTCATACTACTATTGTGATATGCACACAAGTGAGCCTAGGAGTGCAAGGCTTGGGCTTCACTGGAGCTTAGCCTGAAATAGAAAAATCAAAAGTCAGGTTCATGTGAGGAGTAAAGAAATTCAGGAGCTGACCTTTTGCCTCTAATCTCAATGCTTTTATCATTTTTAGACTAAGGCTTAAGCACTGAAATACAAGTTAAATATGCCTGGGAAATTACTATGACAATCTATCTTTGATGGAATAGCAATAAAGAAGTCCAGAATTACATAGTGTTGTTAAGGAAGCTCTTGTTCTGATTTAGGCCAGTATACTTGCTTAGTCTGCTTGAATGTTAGTAAAATCTTAGTGTGTGTGTGTGTGTGTGTGTGTTTTCAAAGCCATTTTATGATATGTAAGTAATCAGTTTTTTGCATTAGGAACACTGCATGGAATAAAAACTATTATGATAATTTTGTCCCCTAACAAACTAATGAGGTTCACTATTTTCTAGAAATGGGCGTTCATGGTAATGTGGTGGAAGGTCAGGGGAATGGATTAGAAAGAAGAAATTCAAATTCCAGGAAAGGTGTTACATTTCTCTGACTCATCCTTATCATTGGAGAAGTGGGGCATTTGTACTGATTTAACAAGCTCTCATAAATTTTGTGAAGATAAAATAATTTTTGAGGTCTTTGAAATGTAGGAGCCACAATACAGATGTGATTAGGCATCATGCACCTGGAAAATGAATGCTCCATTGGAAAGGTGCATTGATTTTGTGCATAGATGCCCTAATTTCCAGCCCCAGTAATCTATTTTGACACAATTTGCAGCAATTATGTATAGATGATCCTATAATTCCTATAATCTTTGTCTAGACAATTACCGAAGAATTTCTATAATCTTTGTATCTAGCCTCAGTCTCACCAAATCAGTTCACAGGTAGACTGGCAATGTGGACTATTCTATAGGAGCATGAGCCTTATACAATGTTTCATTCATCAAACACAAGTGTCAAGACCATTAGAAGCAACTTCTTCAGCTCAGGGCTAAGGATACATTTTCTGGAGCCGGAAGTCCTCGTGCTTGATGTTATTATATCAAAGCTGTCTGTCAATGACAGTATTATTCAGTGGACCAAGTTATAGTATGTTACTGATGGCAGTCACATTAAATCTTACTGTGTTTCCTCAAAAGCTGGGAAAAGGAAAGACTCATGCAACATGCTTACTATTTTTCAAAAATTCTTGATGATTTTCATTTGAAAAAGGCTATGATAAAATAGTTTTAATGCAGGAAAAAGAAGGCATAGTAAACTGTTACTATGAAGAACTCCATATTTTACAGATTTAATGCTGATGCAGGCAAAAGCATGTCCTCTGGCATATTGCACAGGTTTTCATTATCATTTGCGTCTGTATTGTAGATGTGTCCTTTAGTTCCCTGAATGTAGTATCATGAAGATTTGCTGCAATAATGAGAATTATTAAGCACAAGTGTATGTTCTTTTATTAAATGAATTGGGATGCTGTGGAGCTTCACACAGCAATAACTTTATATGCTGAAAAAATAAGACTGAGAATTTTCCCAAATTTTTATGAGGGCACATACCTGGGCATAAAGATAACTATTAATAGAGAATCATGCAACTAAACTTCATTATGCTAACTATTTAGGATCTCTCAAAGTGTATTGCCCAAAACCTTGATAAATGGTCTCAATTGACTCTATTATGGGCAGGACTAAAATAGTAAAAATGAATTCTGTCATTAGGCTCAGTATTATTTTGTTATGCTCCAACAAAAAATTGCCTGCTATATTTAATAGGCATTGCAATAAAATTATCTTTACTTTTAAAATCACTGATATCAAGAAGAAATTGATATAAGAAGATCATTGGTGAACTGAAATAGATCTATAGTTAATTGAATTTAATGTTTTTCCTAGCTTAAATGTAAAGATATACTGCTTACCTATTCTAAATAATATAAAAATTCTACTATTCAGAGGGGTAGAATAGAAAAGTGGAAAGAAAAAAGTCTTGATTTTGGTTAATATTTTACGAGTTCAGCTGTTTATTTTTTAACTCCATCTTTGATTTTATGTCTATAGAGAATAATGCTTTCACATGCTTTTCAAAGTTAGTTAATATATGTTTCTACAATAGTTGGTATGTTGGTAGTTTTGGCTATAATTCATAAATATCAAAATATATTTGCCCAATAGGGTATGGGGTCAGAGATAGACCATTGGGAATTAAATATACATCTAAGGACCTTACTTTATAAATACTGAATGCCGAATAAATGTATGTACACATGATTTTTCCTTATAGTTGTGTTGCTCTATTATGATCAAAATCCACATATAATATTCTACTCTTGAGAAGTCAGTAAATTAGAAGGTGGTCTGATTGATTCCAACTAGTAGATGATATTTTATTCTCAAATGACTGGCATATTGAATGTGAAAAATTTAAAGGCTTTTTATGGCTAGTCCCAAGGGTCTGTAGTCTTTTTGATCTTGTTCAGTAGCTTAAAAGTAACATTTACATGGAGAGACTAGAAGGAAAGTATTAGGAGTGGCTACATGGGTCTCTAGGGGGGGTCACAGTCTTCAAAATGGACCCCTTCTTTGGCTTTCCCTTTACTCCTGCCTCCTCCCCTCTCTGCAA